TAGGCACGTGCAATATTGGTTGGTCAACTCGAATGAATAATTGTAGAGAGTAAATCTTTCCCGGTGAGTGGGTTGGCTGAACATTAAATGTAGCCTGACAGAATTGTCCCCTCGCAGCGAATTGGTCGGAAGATCTGGAACCGAAATACGAGCCCCACGGGAAGGAGAAATAAATGAAACCAGACGCACGATGAAACCGTGTCAAATCTTGTAGGACCTTCTCAAGCGCACGACCTTCCGCAAGTCGAATCAGTATGTGCGCATAGATTTAGTTCAGAGACTATGCATGAATAAAAACCAAAAGCGGAATTTTTTCACGGGGGATACTCGGGTGCAGGCAGTTGAACCCCGGACAGCATCCAAACATCAATTCTGTATGACCTTTTTTATCGCAAAGTATTATTCGGTTTAGCCCCGAGGTTGAGGTGCAAGGATTCCAGTGCAATCCGTGGTTTGCCATCGTAGTTTTGGTTACTTTCTGCGGTTGCAGTTCGTGTCTCGTGATCGTGATCTTGCTGTGTCGTGATCAGGTCTTGGAGGTGGTGGATCTAGGTTTATGTGGTTTGTCATCGAGGTTAAACTCTACCGAGCTCTCTGGATGTTGTAAATCCATAATGGGAAAATCACCACCATCTTAACCGACAACAAGATCAAAATAACATCATAGCCGAATCATAGCCGGTGCCTTCGCCGGCCTCATTGGGAGTGCTGATGATGCAGATGTTATTCCTCTCTGGGTCAATGCCCTGGCTTATGTCCATGTACTTCATCCAGATGTATTTTAATTTAATTTTCTTGAGAGGTGGGGTGTATGAGTTGTACACGAGTTGATTGAACTGCTGGTGGCTGTGAAATGGTAGGCGAGATGGGCTTGATGTCAGATTGATATTCATGATGAGGGCAATGTTGGGATTGGCTGAGAGATCTTGGTTTTGATGGGTTCGAACTAAGATATTATGAATATCATGTGCCAAAAAGGCCTTGATTTTATGCAGCACATGTTGAGACCTCAACCTCATACCACAAACATAAACCAGTGATAGTGAAACCTGAGCACGCCACCGAAACCTTCAAGCTGACATAATTGCGACCACAGTCCTGGATCTGCAACCTCGAACCAAAACCACAAACCATGTAAAAACCACGAACCAGAACCATAATCTGGCCTTTAAACCACAACCTCAGCACAGGACTCCAAACCGATGAATACTTTGCAAAAAAAACTTTTATAATTCTGAGCCTTCTAGTGCGCGCACGCCCGATTCCTAAGTATAGTTCGGATCCTAGGTACTATCAGAGCGGTAATTGAAGCAGTGCGGGGCATTGCTTATGAAGAGACAGCAAAGTCCGCAGATTTCCAGCATTGGGACTAGGTGTTTTGGTCGGAACCACTGCAGCAGTGCAGCTGAGCAGTGGAGGTGGAAGAAGAAAGCTCGGCGGGAATCGGATCACACGCGGGGCCCAGCCAATCAAGTGCAAATCGACCCTCGATCCATCAAACGTCCATGCAAGCCGCTCGTCCGCGCCCGGCGCTCCGTGCGATTCTAATCGACATATCTGGCACCCTACCCGTCGGATCGACCCCCACCCCGCGTGCTGTGGACGTGTTTCGCCGGCTGCAAGAATCTTGCGTGCCGTATCGGCTCTGCAGTAACACGAGCAAAGAATCGACGCGGGATGTCTCTGCGCGGCTTCGGGGTCTCGGCTTTAGGATACAAGACGAATCAAATACGACTAGGAGCTCTAATAAACCACCACGCGAAATCTGGACGAGCATCGGCGCAGTCCGGAGTGTGATGGAAGATCTGGGCGTCCGAAGGTGCCTACCCGCGTCAGTTGAACTCTGTTGAAGTCGTAGTGATTCGCATGCGAGGCCGTACCTCCTACTGTCGAATTCGGCGCGCCAGGAACTGATGGCCGGGTCGGATACGAACTTAGAGCTCGATGAAGACAAGACACCCTACGACGGCGTCGTCGTGGGCCTCTGTCCCGCGCGGCTCGACTACGCGCACCTCAACACCGCCTTCCGCATCCTCGCGCGCGAGCACCCCACCCTCTCCGCGCGCCCGCCCGTGCTCATCGCCGCGCACGCAGGCCGCGTCCTCGAAGCAACAACCGGCGGACTCGCACTCGGCCCCGGTCCGTTCGTAAAGGCGCTGGAGCATGCGGCGCGCGTCAAGGCACACGTCGTCGGGAAGCCTGCGCGCGCGTTCTTCGAGGCCGTTATTGGCGACATCGACGCGTATGGCGGCGAGCCGGAACCGGGCGCGCGCATCGCGATAATTGGGGACGACGTTGAGGCAGATTTGGGCGAGGGGGCGCAGGAGCTTGGGCTTTGGCGCGTGCTCGGTGCGTTTTCCGCCTTCTAGGAATTGCCTGTCAATTTCAGCTCGACACAGTGCGCACGGGGAAGTATCGTCCCGGCGACGAGCATCGCCCTGATGTACCGCCGGACGAAGTCGTCGACTCATTTGCAACGTTTGTAGAGAGCTTAATGGCCGCGCGTTGAAGTGATATGTCGATCGGGATCGTTAGTGCGAGTACACTGAAGAGGAGCTGAGTGGCACCTCTGTAATTTTATCCATCTTCTTGTTGTAGACAATCACATATATGCACAGCTGTTTTCATGTCGTTCCACCCTTCGGGTCAATTATGATTTATGCCGCAACGTCCAGAGTCTTTTCAACCAGATCGGGCGATGGAATACAAGTTTCTGATAACAGACGTCGTCGCTCCCGAATGGCAAACAAAAAGCTCATGCAGGCAAAGGAGTATTTATGAGCGAGATACAACCCCTCTTTCTCCTCGCCAGCTACATACTACGCCCCATGACCATGACCCTGAATGGATCCCCCCCTCATTGAGAATACGAAGACTCTCTCGGCTTGATTCATATGATCCTCTCTTTCTGATCGCATTCGATTCCGTGGCTGACCGCGGCCGTGGACAGGCTTGTGCTCTCCTCGACGCCATTCGCATCCAAGACGGAAGGTGGTTTTGAAGCAATTGCAGCGATCAACTTACCGAGATCTGACGATGCTTTCATTTTGGTCAGGTAGATGTAGGAGCCTGGACTGAGGGAAAGCACCGTATAGTTGAAAAATGCGGGACTGGAATTAAAATATTATATCGTCGAAGTCGCCATTCGGGTGCGGGGAGTCGAACCCCGGCTTGCAGTTGATATTTGCGACGACGATTTCAGCAAGGACTACTGCCGTGCACCGTACACCACACTCGATTCGAGGGCGTAGTCGCGAGCCTGAATACATACCGGATTCTGAAGATCTCGGGGAGGGAGCGAGATAATAGAAAATCAGTTAACAAATTGCCTTGATAAATTGCCGCTGACATCCGAAACCAAAATTTACCGCACGTATATTTTTCCGATCATGGAAGGGATGGAGAAACGGTGTGGGACGTCGCGAGAAGACGTGAAGAATAAGAAAAAGTAACGATGGTCAAAGCCGACTTATCTATTCGGGCGCGGGGAGTCGAACCCCGTCCTGCAGCGACACCACTTCTTCGAGAGTTATTTAGTAGTGCCGTGCACCGTACACCACACCCGAATTAAGGGCTTACCTCGGAACTTGAATACGAAGGCTGATTCCCTTGGGAAAACCAAAGCTTGATCAAATGTACAAGTGGAGAGTGAACCGCGCGTGACCAACGAACGTACCAAGGCCCGGGTGTTAATAGTGACAGGGGGCTACGCGATGAGGTGGACATTTGTCAGATGAGAAAAGAGAAAAGAAGGGCAAGAAAAAAAAAAGGATCGATGGACTTTTCATTTGTATTCGGGTGCGGGGAGTCGAACCCCGACATACAGCCTATGTCGTCACTTTCGAATCAGGGACTGCTGCCATGCAGCGTGCACCACACCCAATTCGAGGGCCTTGTTGTGCGTCCGAATAAACACACGCGGATTCTGAACATATGGAGAACAAGACAGATCCTGTGGAGATAGAGACCGACGTTGGAAAATCACCAAAAATTTGAAACGCAGGACAGTACCTACATGTCTGGTCTTCCAATGATAGGGCAAATGGTCCAGGGTCGATGGGTGGTCGAGAGACGAGAGAAAAGAGAACCGGGACGATAACGCATTTGGATGCGGGGAGCTGAACCCAGCATAACGCATCTGTCTTTGCAATAAAATAAGATGCACCGTACACTACTCTACACCCGAATTGGGCGTACCTCAGAGCCCGAATACGAGGACAAGTTCCCCCGGGGAAAATCAAAGCTTGGTTAAATTCACAAGTTAAGAGTGAGCCGATGAACATGCCGAGGCCCAGAGAGCGAAAAACTGGGGCGGCCATCGACTGGACCCTGACCTGACGGATGAGTGTGGATAGCACAATGCAAAGAGAAAAGAAGGAAAAGAAAAAAAGTTCCGAGGTTGTAGGCTATTCGGGTTCGGGCCGGGGAGTCGAACCCCGCCTGCAGCGTACCACTACTTTCCTAATCATACACCACACCCAAGTAGAGGGCTAGCGCTTAGTTGCGAGCCTGGATACAACAGACTCTGAGGTCCGAGATAGAAGAACCAGTTCAAAATCAACTTGCCCGAGATAAACAATATGAAGCACTTTCCGGTATTTCAAGGCAAGGGATGGAGAAGTGGGACGGCAGGAGGATAGAGGGGAAAAAAGCCTTCGATTCCCATACGGGGAGTCGAACCCCGTCCTGCGGTTTGTATTCCTGCTGCACATCGTAAGCGTCGCCGTACACCACACGCGATTCGAGGGCTTAGTTGCGAACCCAGATACACATGATACGGGATTCTGAACTTGTGGAGGGCGAGCAAAACAGATCAGGTGGGGATGGACATTGGACACCGACTGGAAAATTGGTCAAAATTCGAATGGAGAAAAAGGAAACGAAGCACCGTAACTGTATTTCCGGTCTTGCCAGGGCTGGAGAAGTGGGATCCGGACGCAGAAAAAAAGAAGCCTCAGCAATGTCTACGTATTCGGGTGCGGGGAGTCGAACCCCGGCCTGCAGCATCAATGGTTGGGTCATGGATCTTAAATTTATACTATCGTGCACCGTACACCACACCCGAATTGAGGACTTAGCCCGGACGAGGGCTAGTTACCCCGGTGGGGAAAATCAAAGCTTGATTAAATGTATAGGTTGAGCGAGCGTACCCAGCTAAAAATTGGGGCCCTTGACTTGAGCCAAGGGAACGCATGAAGATGAGTACGAATAAGCTGCGGCGCGTGACATAACGTCACAGAAATTGGACTCGACCAGGATGACGGGTGGTTCCTTCGGGCCCTCCTCCCTGCCCGCCAACGGGCGGTTCACCGGCACTGCCCGCGTCCTCGGCCCACCCCCGACCCACCTCCTAACCCTAACCCTCCCCCTCCTCGGCGTGCAGATATTCTGGTCCGTCGAGATGTCATACGCATCCCCGTACCTCCTCTCCCTCGGCCTCACCCCCTCCAACATCGCCCTCACCCTCCTCGCGGGCCCTCTAAGTGGCCTCATCGTCCAGCCTTTGATCGGCGCGCTCGCGGATTCCAGCACGTCGCGGTGGGGGCGGCGGAGGCCATGGGCGCTGGGCGGGTGCATGCTGAGCGCCGCGGGGATGCTCTTGCTCGGGTATACAAGGGCTGTTGGAAGGGTATTTGGGGGCGGGGACGGGCTCACGGTAGGGCTCGCGGTGCTGAGCATATTCGTTATTGACTTTAGTATTAATGCTGGTGCGTCCCGACGTTCTCTCTCCAATAATGTCAATTTAATAGTGAATAAAGTACAAGCCGTCGACCGTGCCCTCCTCGTCGACACCCTCCCGCCCGCCCAGCAAGCCGCGGGCAACGCCTGGGCAGCAGCCATGCTCGGCGCGGGCTCCGTCGTCGGCTTCTTCGTGTCCGTCCCTCACTTCCCAATTATCCTTATGCTGATACGAGGTGTGCAGCGGGAACCTCCCCCTGACGACCCTCCTCCCCTTCCTGCGCGCAGAGTCGGAGCTCCAGGCGCTGTCGTCGCTGGTGTCGCTGCTGCTCGTGGGGACGCATGTGTGGACCGCGTTTTGGGTAAGGGAGCGCGTGTTGCTCAAACCGTGAGTGGGATTGTGCGTCTGTGTGTGCCGCAGGCACTTCTTCCTCGGACGCCGTCAGGCGCTCGAGCATGGTCTCTCTTGAGGCCTTCTCCCCCTCGCGCGTCACAGGCGATTCCACTATCTCGAGCGCTCGAGGCACTTTTTTGCGCCGCCGGCACTTGTCTCTACGAGGGAGCACGCGCATGTCTCGTGCATTCTTCTGCTTCGGCGGCGACGATCCATTCGAGCTCCGCGGGCCCCCGCTTCGTGTCCCCTCCTCCCCTCCCCCTCCCACCCCGCTTACTAACCCACACCCCCCAGACCCACCCCCTCCCCACACTCGCACTCCCGCAGAGCCTGGCTAACCGCGAACCCGCTCGCGCGCGAGGTGCGCGCGATATGGGCGAACGCGCGGGCGCTGCCCAAGGTTATTAGGATGATTGTGAGTTTTCTTTTTGTTTTTCTTACGCGGAGCGTATACGAGGACCCGTAGGGCTCGATCCTCTCCCACCCGTCCTCGTATCCTCTTTCACCCGTCCTCGTCTTCTTTTTTCCCCTCCTCCTCTTGTACCCGTACGGCTCGCTAACGCTCGCGCAGTGCTTCACGCAGTTCTTGTGCGTCCCTCCTTTGCTTGCGAGATGAAGCCTGACGTGCCCTCCCTCCTTTCCTTACTGTACGCACGCGCCCGCTCTCTCGCCCTCGACGACCCGCAACTTGCTCGCACACTCTACGACTCGCGACTCGCCCGCCCATTCTACCACCCACCCACCGCTCACCCATCTCTACCTCCCGCTCTACCTCCCGCTCTACCACCCGCCCACGCTCCCCCCTCGCCCCCTCTTCCTCGCTAACACTCTTGCTCGCTCGCAGCGCTTGGCTCGCGTGGTTCCCCGTCCTCTTCTACACCACGCTCTACGTCGCGGACGTCTTCGTGCAGTCGCAATCTACCTCAAATTCCCCCTCCTCCTCAAATTCATCTTCGGATGGGGGCGCTGCTGACGCCTCAGCCACGGGCTCGCTGGAAGGAGGACGGGGAGCGGCGGGCCCGCGCGCGCTGACGCCGCTGATACCGCTCGTCCTGCACGCGGTGGCGCGGCGCGACTTCGTCGGCGTCCTCCGCGACTCCAACCCCGCCCTCTCCGCCGCCGCCGCCCTACGAAGAGGGCCAGCAACCCGACAAGACCCCGCAACCGCCGCCGCCGACGCCGACGCGGCGACGCGCCTCGGCGCGCGCGCGCAGCTCCTCTCGGCGCTGCTCGCGCTCGCGACGAACGTCCTGCTCCCGTGGGTCGTGCCCGCGCGCGGGGAGGGTGGTGCGTCCTCTTTTCTGTTCTGCGTGTCTTGGCATCCGCTCTATCTCCAACTCCTACGTACCCTATTCGGAGTAGCTCCCTCCCTCTTTCCTGTTCTCCGTCTCCGGGGCGGCGCGTGCTAATCTATCTTTCTCGCAGGCGGCGCCGCGCGCCGGAAGGGCTTCCGCAACTCGCGCCTCGCCGCGTCGCTTCCTCCCCCCGGGGACGGGCTTGGCCTCGGAGTGGGCGTACGGGAAGGAAGAGAAGGCGCGGGAGGGCGGCGCAGCTGGGCGGTGCCGCTGCCGACGATCTGGGCGGCGAGCCACGCGCTGTTTGCGGCGTGCATGTTCGGGACGTTGTGAGTGCTCGCCTTCTTCTTGCGTTTGGTTTTCGTTTTGGTTGCGGTCGGGGATGCGCGGGTGCGGGTGCGGATGAGCAGCCCCGATGAGCAGCCCCGCTTGCGGATGCTCGTTCCTAGCTCCGTCCTCTCGCTCCCACTCCCACTCCCACTTCTTGTACTCTCCTCTATCCCTCCCCGTCCTCCCCTCCCCTCCCCCTCCTCTTTCCCCCTCCCGTCCCTCCCCTCTTCACTTCCCCAACTCCAACTAACCACTCCCCAGCTTCACGCACAGCGTCACGGGCGCGACGCTCCTCATCGGCGCGACGGGCATCGCGTGGGGCGTCACGCAGTGGGCGCCATTCTCGCTGGTGCGTCTTCTCCGTGTTTTGTTTTGAGTACCCCTTCATCCTCCCGTCCCGAAATTGCTTCCTCCGCCGTTCCTCCCCATCCGATTCCTTGCACTTATCTCCATCGTCCACTCCCAATCCACTTCGCCATCCCATTCGCGATATCGCTTCTATCCATCCCACTTGCGCTTTTGCTTCTCCCCTTCCTACTCCTTATCCCGCTTTCCCTCGCCTCGCCCCCTCTTCCCTTCTCCTAATCCACCCCATCCGAATCCCACGTTCGCTTGCACTCTTTCCTCCTCCCTCTCTATTCAATCCAGATCCCGCTCCCGCTTCCCCGCAACCTTCTCCCCATTCAATTCCAATCCCGCTCCCCTTCGTCCCTCCTCCATCTCCAGCGATTCCCAATCCCCCTTCCTCCCTCCCTCCCTCCCACCCATCCCTTCCCCCTCCTCCCCATTCACCCACACACGCTAACCCCTCCCCAGCTCGCAGAAGCGATCCTCACCGCGCCCGCGCCCACCACCACCGCCGCGGGCTCCATCCGCCTCGCCGACGCGCGCACGCCCGATCGCGACGCGGACCGCGAGGCCGAGGCGCTCCTCGGCGGCGGCGGCGGCGGCGAGGCGGGCTTCCTCGTCGGGTCCGACTCCGACTCCGACTCCGACTCTGGCGCTGACTCTGGCGCTGACTCTGAAAGGGAGGACGAGGAGGGCGTGCTCGTCCCGCGGGGGGACGAGGGCGCGAAGCCCGGAAAGGGGATAGAGGGAAAAGGGGGGAGGAAGGGAAAGGAGAATAAGAAGGAGAGGGAGCGGGGCGTGCCGGCGCACGCGCACGCGCTGCTGGGGAACGCGCGCGCGCAGCTGAGCGTCGTGGACGTGCGGACGCCCGTGAGCGTCGCTGCGCCGCGCTTCGGTGGGCCCGCTTCTTCCTCCTCCTCGCGGGCGGGGCTGGTGGTGGATACCGCGGTGTACGGCGATGGGGAAGGGGAGGGCGAGGGCGAAGGGTGGGACGGGGACGGGGATCTCGAGGCGGGCGAAGGGGGTGGGGGAAGGGGCGAGGAGGGCGGCGGGCTGAGTGCGAAGGCGGGGGTTATTCTGGTGCGTTGCGGCTCTTCTCTCCCTCCCTCTCCTCGTTCCTTTCCTCTCCTCCCTCGCCTGCTCCCTCTCCTCCTCTCTCGCCTCCCTCCTTCGCCCTCCTCCCTTTCCCCGCTAACCCAAACTCCACCCCTGCAGGGCATCCACAACATCTTCATCGTCGTCCCCCAATTCCTCGTAACCGGCCTCGCCGCCATCGTCTTCGCGCTCGCGGACGGCCCCGCGCCCGCCGCGCACCCGCTCGCGGTGGGCATCCCGCGCCCCGTGAACGCCACGTTCGGCGCTGCTGCCAACACAACGGTGGGGGGTGGGAACGAGACGTTTGACGGCGGCGGTGGGAACGCGACGTTGGAGGCGGGCGTGGCGCCCATGCGGAACTCGGTCGTTTATGTGTTTCGGTGCGTTTGCGTATCACTCGATAGACACACGCCACTTACCCTACCACACCGCCCATCCATCCAGGATCGGCTGCATCTGGTCGTGCATCGCGTTCGTCCTCGCGTGGCGCCTCGCGCGCCACCTCAAGCACGCGTAGGCTAGCCTACCTTCCTTCGCCCAGAGCAAACGCCCGTCTAGATTCTAGACTCCGGTTTCGGATTCACGCCGCGGGAGCTGGAGCGTATATGCCTAGGCGCGCCGCGTAGGAAGCCACGATCAAAAGTTCGCTACATACCACATCCTAAATCGTCAGTATCGTATTCGTATTCGTATTTAGACTGCTCTGCTGTAATATATTCGCTGTCGTTGGCGTTGTCTGGATCGGGAAAGTCCGGATGATGCGCCCGGCGGGAGGCGTGTTTGATATCCCCATCTGGGTATTTGGGTGGGCGCATCAGTTATGTCGGCCCATGGCGCGGTTGTCATTCAACTCAGACGCTTCAACAATAATGAACTCGTACCTCGCTTTGTTGAGCCTTTTTTGTTGAATCCTACCGCCCATCA